AGAAGAAACAAAAATAAATAAATAAGTAGAAGTTATTTATCAAGCATTTTTTATAGAACAGCAGTGCTTCCATATGATTTTTGGTAACCTAGAATATAATAAATATATCGATGTCTAGTAAATTAGGGAAATTACTGGTCATGTCACAATCCTTTCTCCTGCATTCTTCTCTTGGGACTTTGGGCATGTACACACACCCTGGTGTGAATTTCAAACTGCCAAGTCTGGGACTCAAACCATGGTAAACTATGTGACAGTCCAGTGACATAACTATTATGCCACCTGCTGGTTCCTTCCCTTGTCATTTTAATGAATGAAGCTTTTCTTTTCATGTCTCTCTTCACACCTGATATTGATCATTTATGTCTTTCTTTTTTTTTTTTTAATTAATCAGTCTGAGTAGAGTTTTACTAATTCTATTGATTGCTTTAAAAAGCTCTTGATTTATTTATTTTATTGCTTTCTGTCTTCTATTTAAAAGATTTCTGCCTTTTTGCTTGCTTTTACCCTTTGGTTAGGGTTCTTCATTTTCTAGTTTCTTACAAGGGAAGCCTAGATCATTCACTTGACACCTTTTCTAATAAAGACATTTAAAGCTATACATTTTCCTTAAATTCATGCTTTACATAAAATTAAATTTGATATTCTGTAATTTCATCCAATTCCAAACATTTTCGTAATATTTTTCTAAATATCATTCTTTTCCACATCGATTCCTTTTACTGATACGTGTTCCATGCTGACTGCACTTCGTGTAAACCCTATCAATAGAGGAATTTTCATGTGGAACTTCCTATTTCCCAACTCCCTAGGGTAAGCATACACTCCACAGTAAAATCTGATTTTGCTCACCTTCCAGTGTCATCAAGAAGTTGACTTTTAAATTTCCAGGTTTTATAGTTCTTTGCTGCAAAGGGGAGTTATTCTGTAGGGTCTTTATCCTTTGAACTTGCAAACCACCTAATTCATTGTTAGTGGTTGTTATTGGGTCATTGGGAAAGTCATGATGCATTTTTGCATAGAAAAATATGTCATGACTTTTGCAACATCCTAGTAATATACTCTAGAATGTGCACACCATGATTTTGTTCAAATATTTCCATGTTGATGGACTTTCTAATTGTTGTTCTCTTTTGTTATTACAGTCTGGAATTGTCACATTCCTGTAAGTAGATTATTTGAGGTTTAACATCCTTTAAAATATTAGTTGACCATTTAGATTTCCACTTCTAAGAACTAGTTCTTCATATGTTTTTCCACTCTATATTTGTCTCTTTATTTTTGTTGTTAGATTTTTTCTTGGTAAGTAGAAGCTCTTTTTATATTAATGATGTTAACTCTTTATCTGTCAAATGTAAAGCAAATAATTTCTGAGGTTATAATTTATCTTTTGTCTTTTCTACCTGTTGCCTTTTTCCCTAC